CAGTTCTAGGTTGATTGCTGCATCATCAGATTAAAAAATTATCTGCTGTGGTTGAGCTGATGGCAAAAGTACAAGGAAATGTCTACATGCTGAGTAAAAAGCCTTGGTTTCTTTATGCCTGGGCTTATATGTGCCCATAATTAAAGCAACAATCCCTCTCTCATGTAGGGCTAATTACAGCTATTATTCATAAACAGAAAATATAGGTAAGATTTACCCAACAGATGGTTTGTGTAGCAAGATGTATCTTTATGTCTCCTGCGGTATAGATAAAACTACTTGTGTGAAAAGGAAAATGGGGTGTGTTCCAGAAAAAAATAACTTAAGGGGGGATTAAAAGATGATAAAGTAGGAGTTTACGGAAGAATTAGTCAGAAATGAGTCTCATACTGTGATGATTTACACAATGAAAATTATTTTCTTTCAGGTCATCCTTGTATCATGTATTTACTGTAATCCAGTGCTAGTATCCTCATGCATGATATGATCCATTTAAACTAATTCTAATGAGTATTGCAGTATATTTTGCAATTCACAAAATCTATAATAAAATTAATGGAAAAAATAATCCAAAGTGGAAGCGTAGTTTCATTTTATTCAGTGTGTTACATATTTGTTCTCAGTTTGAAAGTAGAAACCATGATCAAGGAGAACAGTGTCTCTGCTGATGGGACAGCAGAGTGTTTGTGCATCTGTCTGATGCTGATCCAATGTCAGTAATGCACCCAGGCTGAGTAAGAATTTTCATGAGATAGTTCCAGCATCTGCTGATATCATACCTCAGACTGTAACAGCTAAGGAGAAAATTCAACTAAATCATGGCAGTTCCCCCCCTCCCAACTAAAAAATAAGGTCAAATACACACAAACAGAACACTTTGTAAAGACCTATCCACTTTGAATATCTGTCTATCTATCCATCTATCTATCTATCTAATCTATCTATCTATCTATCTATCTATCTATCTATCTATCTATCTATCTATCTATCTAATCTATCTATCTCTACATTGCCCTCCCCTCAGATAATTTCTATGCAGACATAGCAATGGGCAAGGTTATAAGTCTGGATCAAGAAATTTACACCAATAACCAAAACTTAAGCAGAACCAGTTACTCCCAGATACCACTGGGTATCCACAACTGCATCTCATACAATGTAGTCAGGAAAAAATATTTTTGAGCAAAGAGACAGAGCTCAAACTAATAATCACTTATCACATTATTGGTAATAGTTATCAAGTAGTTCTGCAATATTATAAACACCCAGTTAGTTGTGGGTGGATTAATTAAGTGTTGTGCAAAAACTTTCCATCCTGAGATACCTTCAGGATTATTACACCACCCATTCTTGGAACACGGAATACAGTGTTCATATCCAGCTGCTGTGCACTGTACTTCTGAGGGCTGTCTCATCTCTGTGGAAATGTTTATAAATTCTTCAAAATTCAAGGTACTCCAACTGCTCCTAAAGCCTTATGTGTATATTTTGAGTGATCTGTGTTTTTTCCTTTGGTTTACATAAATTGTCTTTGCTAATTTTCAGTAATTCTTTTGATAATTCAGAGTTGACCTACTGCCAGTTGAGGTAAAGTGTCCTTGTTTTCCCATGCTTTTCCACTTGGTTCATATCAGCATGTTCTGTTGCCTCCAAAATATGTTCAATGACACAAAACCAGGCTAATAGAGTGGAGACTTGGGTGTGAAGGTTTTGTCTCTTCTGACTGTATGTATGTGATATGTATCACACAGGACTTATTTCTCCTGATACCAGGTGTGAGGGCACCTAAGGCCTAACAGATTTAACAGATTTAAGTGAAGGTGCCACATTTATGTTAGCCTGTCTTCACATCCTGCAGTACCAGTATCTGATTTTTGACAATGGCCTTCTGCTGGAACTGGACATTGGGAAAATGAGGATCTCATAAGGTTAGGAAGATCTCATACGACAGGAAGAATTCCTGTTCAGGTTAATGCACTTTCAGTCTTTGAATTTACAGCGCTTTCCTTCACTGGAAGGGTTGGAAGGATAAGTAAGGATAAGCTTTGTGTTTCCTTCTTCTCCACACCTTTCCTCTGTGAGAGCTGTGGATGTGTCTTCCATGTGAGTCACTGAACATCCACATTTGACAACAGTTCTTGGCTTGACATTGAGTGACGTGCCCTTTCTTGATGATTCCATTAAGAGTGCTGTCCTGAATTTTATGGCAAGTACAGTTTTGTGGCACTGCTGTTTCATGCTTCCATACCTTTTGCCATATATGTTGAACATTTTAAACAGCTGAATTATATGAGTCAATTTTTTTTTTGTTTTGTTTTGTTTTTGTTCTTCTAGCCTCTCACCCAGAGAAGGAGAATGGTCAATAAAATACTTTTTTTTTTTTTTTTTAACTTGGGTGGTTTTTATCTTTCATGTGTGAAAAGAAGAAACCTAGTAAATATTTCAAAGAAATAGCAATTACACAGTTACAACTAAAAAGAGCTGTGCTTCATCGCATACCACAAAATCAAGGGACAAAACCTAATTCTCTGGCTATTTGTTCTGATAGTTTCTTGAATTAATAGTTTTTGGGACTACAAAGAATGAATGTGAAGTAGAGAAACCCAAGAAATGCACTGGGGATTAAATCCACTGTACCAATATAAATTCATAAATAAATAACTGATTTCTGTGTAGGGCAGACTGAGAAGTAGAAAGAGATGAAATATGCTAGCTGATGAGGTTTAGGGTCTTAAGACTATTTTTTTCCTTTTATACTAGCCTACAGTTTTAGCTCTGCAAATCCATTTCCTAAGGCTTTGGAATGACTAAATTTACACAGGGAAATTGAAGAAGACACAGTAGCTGGGTTCTACACCTATTGATTATTGTGTTCTGTGCCTTGAAGAAGGCCTGGATAATATTTATTTTGCTCTTGCTCTGGTCTAAAGCAGAAGGAAATCCTGTAGGCATAAGGTACTCTTCCATGACTAGGAATGCAATGGTGCCCTCTTGTGTGAAAGTGAAATTTTATCAACAGTGGAGACCATCAGAATGTCCTAAAATTAAAGTACTATTATGAGAGTGTTCACAACATACAGGTACTAGTTCTGAAAAAAGTTTATACAAACTATTTGTTTAGCCATGATCTAGCAGATCTAATTAATTAGAACCAGTATTAATCTAGGTGTGGTCTGCTAACCTTAGTTGTTAGAAGTGTGATTGCTTCCTCCTATGGGTTAACATTTCCTTAAGCATAGAAATTTATTCCAACACCCTACATAGCCATGTTGGCTGTGTGAAAGTCTTAGGTAAAGTACTGGCTTTGCTGGTCACTTTCTTACTGGTTTCAGGAGAGCTGGAACTTCCCCTGTAGAGCTTGCTCTGCCCCAGTCATCCTGTGTGCAATGAGTTTTCTCTGCCCTTGTGTTTGCATTTGCAGGTGGCATTTTTAACAGCTTCTGCCATGATGCTCCTGCATCTTTATCTTCTGGGGTACTGAAAAGCATGAAGATCTCAACAGTGATGAAATGTGTCCAAGGAAGCCCATGCTCTCTCCATTTAAACATTAAAGGAACACTGAGTCTGGATGGTAGGAATCAGCTTTCTGTTCACTTTTTGTTTATAGCCATTCAGCCAAAATTTGTTCCATATTGTAATATTTGGGACCAAGCTGTTTTCATGTAATGTTATCAGGAAAATAATTTTGTGAAAGCATTTTACTACAACAGGATGAAGTTGTGACCCTTCTGAAGTGAATGAGGACTGAGATAATGAATTCTGCCTTCCAATATAACATATGTAACTTGTCCTCTGCCAGTACCCCAAGAACACAACTGCCCTTTTCTTTCTTGCTATGGCATCCATGCAGGCACACACACTAATTCTGTCTGCTCTGATAATCTGGACATGAGTGACTGCCCCTACAGAAGGAGAAACAGTTTATTCATCTGAAGTTACAGTTCTGCACTACAAGAAAATAAAAGTATATGATCTTCCTGTGCATAGTCTATTTTTACTAACACCTTGCCATTCATGTGCTTCATATGTTACCATTTAGATATTTTCTAGTTGCTTCACTCAGAGTTAATAGGTTTATTTTTAAACTTGCATAATTAAAGCTTCATTTATAGCAATCTGCATTAAATCCTTGTTCCTACTCCTATGTATGAGTTATATATAATGTCTCTTTTTTAACAGAGATACATGTGCCTTCCACTTAGAAGGAAAGCTTATGATATGGTGTATTTTAATTAATGTTTTTGATCTTAAAGATGCTTAAGTTATATTTTTGCAATCTGTTCCTAACTCATTCCAGAGAATGTCCGTGGGCTAGAAATATGTTCTTTTTCACTGGACACACAGCAATCTCAATGCATAAACGTGAGATTCACTAGGAAAAAAAGCAAGATGCTTAATGGAAAGAAGGTAAACTCCTGTTTTGAGTGCAGTAATTTTTCATTTAAATGTTTATAAGCCTTTGGAAATAAAAAACCTTTTGCATCTCTTTTTTTTTTTTTTTTTTTGGCTTATTGACTTGTGGAAAACTACAGTGAAACATATGCTTCAGCATAGCCAATGAAACTCCACAACAAAATTACCTTTTACAATATATAAATTTAATTTTCTACCATCCTTGTATTTCTTCTGCCTACCTTTTGACAAGGGAGTCTGTCTCTGCAGAGCCTAATTTTTATACCAGTCTTACTGGCTTTCTTGTTACGCCCTCCGAATTGTGTGGAAGCTTTTCTGACTCCAGTGTCTAGGAAGAGCAATGCTACAGAGATTTTAAGTTCATATTACTTCAGTCAAACCATATCACTGGAGTTTACACAGATAGGTGCCTAAGCACTTGTGCTCATCTGTCCTAAGCCCTTTTAAGGGGCAATATCTGTTAAAGGGAAGTATTTGTTACTAACATTTGCAACTGGGGAAAAAAAGAACTACCCTTGACCAACTGTTGGAAAGGCATGAATTTTTGGAGTTACTGGTGGATAATGGTCACTAATCCTGTACTCAATGTGCTGCTTCATGTGTTTGGACACCTTACACTGATTGCACATGTGGAACAAAGCTCCCCCAAAATGCAGTTGCAGTTTGCACTTGGTGTCTCTTGATGATGGAACATCCACATCCATCCCTATGGGCAATGCAGGGCCACCAGTCAGCAACCAGTAGCTTTTAGAGTAAAGCAGGTTTATATGCAAGAATCAAACATATTTAATGAAATTTTCCTAGTTTCAGTTCAGTGACTAAAATGGTGACATAAGACATCTTTTACCCTCCAAATGCCTTTTGCCAAATAGGAGAGTATCCAACATGAAAACCTACAAGGAATTTAATAGTTAACTGATAGCAACGAGGGAATGACCTGCTATAACTGGACCTCAACTTTTGTTTCTTAAATTACTTTCTGTCTCATAAACTGTTATTGTAATTAATTCATTTTCTGAAGTTGCCATTAAATATTTAAACAGGTTTTTTTTTTCAATTCTGCAAATTTTGTGCTTGTAAAATGTCTATAGACTGGGGTTTTTGATATTTCTATGCTTTTAGGATTATTTGATATATTGTAGATATTTGGATTTCTAAAAGTGAAGGTGATAGCAATATCCTGGATTAGAAATAATGGTACTTTTTGAAATCCTTTTATTAAGTTGTATCTGCTTCTTTTACATTCCTAATGCTACCTTAATGCTGCTTTTAAATGTAAATATATCTGAATGAAGAATATTTATTTCTTAAATATCTTAGCTGAAGGTTTTTCTGCATCTGGAAGTCATGTGTGAACCCAATTTTATCAATGTTTTAAACAGGTACAGGTACAATTCAATTGCATTGAAGTCAATGTAGCACAACACATCTATGTGACCATGAAAACTGTACCACATTACTGTGAAGTCAAGCTAAGTCAGCAATACTATGTTGAAGGTAGGAAAACATCTTAAATCAGATGTTTTTCAAGAAATATCTTGTAAAATAAAAAAAAAAAAAACCAAACCAAATGAAACAAAACAAAACAAACCTCTCAAAAGCAAAAGCACATCCAAATCCCATTTGGGATATACTGACCTAACTGATGGTAGATCATGTATGCCAGGACCAGCCTTAGTTTACATTTCAGTGATTTTTTTTTGTTAGCAAGTAAAGGTTTCAACTTGCTATAAAACCCTGAGTTTATGTCTAAAGGTATGTGGAAAACTGAATTTACACTATGCATTTCTCTCTGTTGCCCTTCTTGTGATTGGCACGTGCTGTTTCTCTGCCTGCAGGTGCAGCCCTGCCTGCTCTCTGTGCCTCAGATGGAGCTTCTGCTTCTCTGCACAGGTGGCCCAGGGGTGGCTTCAGAAGCTGAGGAAAGATTAATAAGAAAGTCTAGAGAAATTTATTTTTACTTTCATTAACTGGCTGTTCTATAGCCTGCTTACATAGAACTGAAAAAGATTAGGTAGCATTTTTCCAATTTTTTGGGGTGAAGGGCCCACAAGTTTTTTTACAAATTATGCCATGTGCATACAAAAATAGATTCAGCACTGTGGTCTAACCAAGATACAGTGTGGCCAGAGAAGGAAAAAGCAAAAATTGACATGAGACCCCTTGTTTGATCCCGTGTCTGGGGTTGTTCTGCCTTCCCACCTCCAGGGCCCATGGGTGGGGGTTTCGTGCCCTTGCCCCTTGGTACAGAGTCATCTCTGCCATATGGTTTGACACTTTGGTACAAGTAAGGCCTTTTTGAGCTCAAAAAGCCTTTAATTTTCTTATCAGTCCTGATTCACTATTGAAGTACATAAGTACTTTGTGAAGAAAGAGGGGAGGAAACAAAGTTTTATGAAGCCCAGTTTTACAGCACATTACCAGGGCGAGTGAGCAAATGAAAATAGGAATTATTTCTTGATGGAAAAGGACTCTGTGGGGAAATTTGAGTCAAATGCTGCTCCAATACTGTGTTATGCAAGGAGGAGTGAAAGCAACACATGAAAAGTTGTTTTAATGTTCTTAAGAGTTAAGTTTTGGAGATAAAAATACCAGATCTTCTGAAAGCGTTGCCTGGCTTCTAATTCTGGCAAACTCCCTAGGAGCTAGGTAGGGTGTTTCTTTCTAAGGCTGGAATTAGAATAGTAGAAATACAGAATTACTGATAACAGGGAAATGAGCCTGGTAAAAAATGGGAGTTGTTTTTCAAGGAAATAGTAACCAAAATTAATATTATTACTCCAATTATTGTTAGGTTCTAGGCAAAGGAGTGTGGTGCTATATCCTCAACTGCAGCCTTAACTGCTGATGAGGTTTCCCAGTAGAAACCCCGGACTGGGGAGATAGATCCTTAAGGCATATTGTGATATAATCTCTGTGTGTGGGAAGAGTATTTATGTTTTGTGCTGTTTATCTAAAAATGTATGCAAGTCTGCACTTAAAAAGGGGAATGAGAGAGGTTTCCTGTTGGGAATCTACTGGATAATTTGGCAGTTTGTTTGCACAGTTATATCAATAAAGCAGCACTGAAACAGACTCTGCCTTCTACTTTGCAGATTGCAGAAACAGTGATGTGGGAAAATATATTCCAGCTTGTTCAGGTGAGCTGATCTCCTATGCAACTTAGAGCTGTGAGATATTTCTAGTGACCTATACAATGACATGCTTTCATACTTAAATGAGCAGGGAGAAAAAAATTATGATTTCCAAATACTACTACTGATATATATTATACTTACTATAATTACCATCTAGTTGATAGGTAATATTCTGGAAATTTCATGGTAATGTTCTAGAAATATATTTCTATTGAAAATGCTACATGGGAGGTAAAGGTTTTGATATTCTATTTGATTTCTAAGCTTTTGGACATTTGTGTTCTTTTAATGAACTTTGGATTGCTGGTTTTATGTTTTGTCTATTGCCAGACCTCATAAATAGATTGACATTAATTTGCCAAACTGCTATACTGCTTTTGTCATACCTGTGAATATATGTACAAAAAATATTCCTTCCACATATTACATTTGGCTATCATAGTTGCAGATATTCTTTATACTAAAAAAATGACAATCTTGGGATAATCAGCCCTCATAGTAGTATTAGTGTGTATATTTCAAATATTTCTGATAAACTACATAAGATTCCAAATACTAAGGTTGAGGTAAAATTGGTAGGTGTCTTGGCCTCTCAGTATTACAAATGCTAAGCTAAATAATGCTCAATGAAAATCATATCTCATTAAAAAATTAGAAGTATAAAATTAGGGTATAAAGTAATAATAATTTCAAATATTCTAGGTAAGATTCTAAAGATGTTGAGTTTCATTTCCATCAAGTTATGAAATGTATTATGTACATTTTATAAATAGATAAAATAGAAATAATAAAGTTATAAAGAAACAGATGGAATAATTTCATGCTTGATTTTATTTTTTTTTTTCAGCTGGAAAGTTAGATTATAATTTAGACAGGGCAAGGCAAATTGTAACAGTGAATGTATCCAACTTTCCCCGAGATCACGATTATTACGTTCGCCTGTGCCGTAAATGGTTTACCTGTGAAGATGTTGGGGCATTTGCTGTGGTGAGTTAAACTCACAGTGCTTTGGGGGACTGGAGGTGGTGCCTCACAGATGGCAATACTCATTATGGTTATAGTTACAGGAAATGCCATCTATGTCTATATCTATAGCTACATCATCTGTATCACCTCTATAATCTATATACATCTATATCTATCTGTATTTATAGCTATATCATCTCTGTCTATATTTAAATCTATATCTATCTATATGTCTCTATTTATATTTATATCTATATCTATCATTTAGCTTTATTAAAATAAGTTTACTGTCCAGGATTTATGACCATGTTTTTCATTTCAGATAAAAGGAAAGGAATCTTTTAAATCCATTTCTCTGAAATATTCTCAGCTACTCCCTTGTCTTTGCATTGAGGTAATACAGTCTGGAATTTGGTATATATTTGTGTTTCTGATTAAAAAAAAAAAAAAAACTGAGGAAAAAGGCTCTAGACCAAATTTTTGACTAAGGCTTTTTTTGACCTTAGAATTACGTAAATGTAAGGAAGAGATTTTTTAGGAAATGCTAATTAAAACATGGCAATCAGAAGAAAATGGGATAAAATGTACAATAATTTATGGAATGCATTTTGTAATATTATTTTGACTGATTTTTTTTATAAACAATGAAAAGACACAAGACATAACCTGACTAAATGTCAGTAGGATTTGATATAGTATTGCATGAGAAACTAAAACAAGAATTAAAAAAACCAAGAACAAGAGCAAGATTTGAGTGGTCGATAATACCTGGCTGCAGGGCTAACTCAGCAACTCCTGTTGGATGGGCCTGTGTTGGTAAGGAAGTTGTTAAAGGATGACACTTAGAGTCATTCCCATATAAATGTTTTCATCAATGACATGGGGACAAAATTCAGGAATGTGTAACAGGATTTGCTGGAACACAGTTGGGACCAATAATCAAAATGGAAGAGGGTCAGGGTGATTGGAAGAGAGTAGAGATCTTCATATGTGACATGATTGAAGGACGATGAAGTGTAAAATATGAAGTGCAAGTTCATGTACTTGTTCTGATAAAAAGAATTTTTGCTGTAAGATGTGAGTCCTCACTTAGAAATGACAGTTGAAGAAAAAAGATCTGGCTGAAATAATTGATCACAGGGTGAGTAACTAGCTTGCTTCCATGATGTCAACATGTAAACATGAACAAAAGTCTAGTCAGTTAGATTGTTCCAAGCCAACAGGAAAGTATGGGCAAGGCCTTCTTTGAAACACTGTAAGGAATTCTTGTATCCATATTCAAGAAAGATTAATTCAAAAGGAAGGTGCACATAAAAGATTGGTAGTGGTTGGGGAATGAAAAGACTGTTTTACAAAGAGATTCAAATATAGTGTTTCCATTAGCCTAGCAAAACACATGCAAAGAGAAGATATCTTTGCTGTGAAAATAAAGACCAGAAGGGTTACTTATAAGGAAAAATAAGATATGTTTTAAACAAAAGCCATTATTGCAATGAGAATGAAGGGGGATAAACTTCATTGCATGAATATATTCAGGATAGTTACATATTTTTATGATAACCTGAGAAGTGAGATTTTGGAATGTCTTTCATACAAGGAATAAAAGGTCCCAAACAAATTTAAAATTACCTTGATAACACAGAAAGATGCTATGTGAACCTAGTTTTCTCACTGAGTTTTGGAGTTGGATTTACCTTGCAGATTAAGATATCTAAACATAGATATTCAAATATAGATATCTACATTTGAATTAGGTGTCCAAACTCTTAAAGTCAATGGAGAGCTAATTAATGCAATCAGTTCCTCAATGGACCAAAGGCAGATGGCCTATCCTTTTGGGATGTGCTGGACTGCACTGTAGATTCTACTGGCTGCTCTGGCTGGTCTTCATAAGGCTACTGTGACAGTAATTTGAGCACTTTAGTCACATTTAGATGTGTACATTGTGGGACCTAAAATCACATACCTAAATAGGCAAGCTGAACCACAAAGTCTTGCCAAAGCATAGGAATTTTTTCATTCCACTCTGAAAATATGAGGTCACTAGAAAAACTTTATTCCTCTCAGTGTATACACAGAAAATTCTGTAATAGGATTGCTAAGCAAACAGATGGGAACTCCAAATAACAGAAACATTTGCACATCAATCTAAATAAATAGAGCATAGCAGCAGCCATGCACATATACTTGAAGATTGGGTCAAGTGTTAATCTTCAGATTCTAAGGATGTATCCTTTACCATTGCCAAGGCCAGGAGATCTTATATTATGATTATTGAATATTTTGGTTCCCCTAGAAAGTAATGACACTCTAACAAACTTAATGAAAATCAAACTGGAAGATTTTCTAAATGAAATTGGACCAAATATATGACTCAGAAATAGGAATATAGTGTTAGAAGGGATCACCTTAGTTCAATGTCCCTAATGATGAACAACAAAATGAAAAAAATAGTGCAAAACTTCTTTTAAAAAATTACTTCCAAAGCTTTCTAACAAACCTTATCTTTGGCAGGAAAATTTTCTGTCACATTCTTCCTGAAATATTAAAAACATGTGTGTCTGACAACCTCTAACTGATGTCCACTATTTGCTTGTAGGGTTGGCTGGCACTTCCAGATGCAAGGAGGATACAACTTTGCCCCTTTGAAAATGGCAAGTACTGCGTGCTTACTCTTTATAGGAATGACTTTCAGCAGCTCCATTAGTATGTCACAATTTAAATTAACCTACACTGAAAATCATGTATTGCAAAACTACAAGGAAATTATCATATTTGTTTTGCTGTGGATAGATGAAATAATTTTCAGGCCACATAATTCACCAAGTTTAAGCCAACAAAAACACTAAGTAACTTTCTAGTCATTTCTCACACTTTCTTAAGTTACACACAAACTGGACAGAAGGAATAAAATATCAGCTTAGAAATGGTGTGAGAAGAGGTTTCAAGGAGACATTTGAGGGTGTCCAATACCCAGCTTAAAGGAGGGAGCAAGGAGTTGAAAAAGGAGACAGTTAACTAAATAGTTCTATGATTAACAGGAAATTATTCATACAAATCTTCCAGCAATATCAGAAATTGGTCTGAGATGACCTCAGAAAAAAACAGAAAAACAGAAAAAGAAATTGTCTTCTTTGCACACATATGAAAATAATTTTTTTACCAGGAAAATAGGAAAAAAGTGTGGCCTAAAAAGTGTTTTATTGTTTTAAGTCCAAGATTTTGGTTTAAAGCACATGTAGAGGTACCAGACTTATTAACTGTGTTGATTCCTGTCTGGACATTTTGAATAATGTTTTCCCTCTCTTTTGTGCACAGATACACAGGTGCTATGGGACAATATTGTTTATAATCCATCAACACAAACCCTTGCCTGGGAGCCAGCCTGTCCTGTCCTTGTCATGGTTAACCTGTGCAGGTTCACCAAGTCCAATGACCATTGTGAAGATATAGAAAAATCTTTCAAAAATTCTTCTGAGAAAGTAAGATCTGTGTGTATTAATTCAAACTGTGAGATTGAAAGGCATCACCAGAGGCATAATGTGAAGAGCTAGACCTTGGAATAAAAGCAGTTGCAAATTCCTCTCTTCTTCTCTGATACTTAAAACTATTAATAATCATAGTCTGTTCTTGCACACTAATCACATGGTTTATTCAAAATAGTCACTGACTCATTATAAAGAAATAAAAAGTGGACATGACTGGGCAGCTAGTAATGTTTGCTAAATTTTTTGGGGTAAATAGGATCTACTTTTTTATTTATAGTTCATGTCAGATTCCCTTTAAAGTAAGGGAGACAGACACATTGCAATGACAATTCTTCTCATCTGTAGATAGGCAGAGTAGGTTGGAGGACTTTCTCTCTGATGGTACCACCTTCTTTTTACTGTCACAAGAGTCTCTTGTGATTAGATCAGATGTAGCTATTTAACATTTAGACACCAGAAATATAAATTAGATGAAGCTAAATATCTTTAAATATTTTTTGAGACATAACAGTAGTTTGGTAGTGCACAATTGTTTTGTAATTAAGATCTTCCTGCAGTGCCTTCCTCAACCTAGTCCGATGTCTTGAAATTGTGGGTGCTGAAATATTGTGTCACTTAGTTCTTCCAGCACTTATTTTCTCAAGTTGAGGAGGGTTGAGATATGAATGGCTTAACACTTCAATATGAAATCAGATGATACTTAATGCTCTGGCTTTTTGAGGCTCATTAGAATTAATTTCATCATGAAAAGTAAGTTGCATGCTTGAGAAGGCAAACTTAAAGTGACAACAGAAAAGCAAAAAAAAAAAAAAAATCAAACACAAGATATTAATTCTGAATTTGGATTAATATTATTATTCTGATGACATGACTGTGGAGGGGGTGGGACTGACTCAAGACTGCCGAATGCTTTTGTGATTAGGAACTCCTGGCCAAGCCTTTAGTGATTGTTCAGATTCATTATTTATGAATTCCAACAAAGCTTTGATCTTGAAAAAACAGATTAATTTAATTCTAGATGTGAGTAATCCCTGTGGGATTATTCATCTGCTGGCAACAAGTACAATTCATTGCTTGCAGGAGAGAAAAAGGAAAAAAAAAGGAAAATAAGACTAAAATGGGGTCTGGCTGGTAATGGTTGTATCTGTTACCAGAAGAGAATCCAAATCTATTACAGAGTATGAGTGTTTTTCTGTATTTACTGATTGTATTTAATGACTGAACATTAATATTAATCATAAAACCATAGAGTGTCCTGAGCTGGAAGGGACCCACAAGGATCATCAACATTAATGGACAGAATGGATTCCCTTTTTTTGTCCTCATTAATTCTAACAAGTTTGATATTAAATTTGGTCCATTTATTTTACTGCAACCCTGAAAACCATCTCTGTAGTATGCTGGAAACTACTGCAGATTTCTCAGATAGGGCCAGCTGCCCTCTAAGTCCAGACAAGACCACACACTCTAAGACTGTATTGACTTAGTCACAAAAGCTGCATCACTCCTCTTTCCTGGGGCTGGAGCTTTCTCTGTCAATGTCAAAGATGCCTCCAGGTCTGAGCAGACTCCTGCACAGCTATCTCCTGGGGCAGTGTTATGTTCTCAAAAGAAGTTACAGGAAAGAAGTGTTTGGCTGTGTATGGTGTTCAGGCACTTGAGCAACAAGGGTTTATTTAAGTAGGATCACTTATATGTGTAGCAATTGTTTATGTAAGACAAGGCTTTTTGTGGTGAAGTCCTTGGTGGGTAAACAATTGTTAATCAAGAAAACCACATTATGTGGATTGCTTAAGTGGATTTCTAAAATTCAGCCTATTTTCACTGTTCTGAAATATAGGTATGGAAAATGGGAAGATTTCTCAACTGATGGTGGAATACTTTTGGATGTGTGTTTAAGTGTTCTGCTGAGTTGTTCATGTGAGGCAAATAAGGGGTTGAAACAAGTTGACTTTGTAATCAGAATTTTGCACAAGCCACCATAGAAGCAATTTATTTAGCTCTAATGGGTCAGCCTGACCATAAAAAATGCTACATGGTGCAGATAAAAAGAAGCAAAATATTCAGTAATCCAAAGCAACAGTTGTTTTTAACCATTTTATGTGATTAACTTCCTGGGATATTTATGAATTAAACAAAGCAGTTGTCTTTGCTGTAATCAAGCCGTGAAAATTTCAGTAGTTGATTTTGTGAAACTAGTTAATAAAACTAGCTAATGCTGAGTGTTCCATCTTCCAGCAGGTTAAATATGCTCGTGTGGACACTCACCCAAGACTTTGCATGAAGGTAAAGGAATTTCTTAGTAAAACACTGTCCTTCTGTCTCTAAAATAAATGAGCTGCTGGTGTTCTTTATGATCAATATTTTGTTTCGTAGCTCTGATGAACGGGAACTGAGAGTGAAGGAAAAGTGAAGGATTAGATTAGAAGGTGATTGTTTTGAAGGGCAACAGCAATGATAGATAGGACACAGGTCAGATTATTCCCTTCCTTTTTGTCTGTTTAAGAATAGCAGGAAAAAAATGTTTTAGGTCAATGCAAACTCTCAAGAATGTGCTAAACTTAACATATAAAGTTTCATAGTAAATATTTGAAAATAAAGTGATCAACACAGCATATTTAATGGAGAATCTCTTACTATTCTAGTTGAGGAAAAAAAAGCCAAATAAGGCCAATACAGGCCTTATTGTTTTCTTTTAGATTACTTTTAACTCAGTGGGACTAGATATTTGTGTAAAATATGCATGACTATAAATACCTGAAGAATTAGAGGATCTAATTTAAGCCAAGGGTTGGAGGATACCATGAAGGAGGAAAACTGTGAATTAATCTTCTTCAACTTTCTGGAATGCCCTGATCACCACTAGTTGAATATTTTGCCACAGATTGAAATGGAAAATCCAGTTTTCCTAACAAATTTCTCTACTTTCAGTTTACCACCAAACAAGGATCTTGGATTAAATGTCCATTTGCTCATGGAGAATTTCCAGGTGAATATATATTTTTAAAATTGCATGAGATTATATTGTGGAAAATATTTAAATCACTAGGTATGAGCTGTCTTTTAAGTGAGAAGTGTTCACAACACTGTAAATGGTGAACTAAGTAAAAAAGATTTGACAGCTTGTTACTTCTATGTTTCTTCAGTAGATCCAGTGTTTGTCAGTATAAAAACTAACTTGTAGGAATCAAAATAATTACTTGCGTATCATTTAATAACACTTAAAAATACAAAAAGCTTTTATTTTAGGCATAAATTTTAGAATATAATATATGGTCCTTGCACATCTAAAAGTAAGTATTTTCCCCTAATATTAGCCTGGAAAATGAGGACTGCTGCAGTTGCAGAACAAATACAAGTTTTCTTCACATCCCAAACCAAGGCACAGTTCTCAGTGCTTGTGTGTAACAGGACGCAGATGGCTTCATGTGACTCTCTTGGGATGCACCATTCAGTCTCTGTGGTTTGTATATATTATTTCTTAAACATCATAAGACTTTTAAATATACCTAACTTATTATTCTATAAATTGTTCTGCAGCTTGAATCCATTAATAAACCATGTACATATTGGAACAATTACTGGAACATTTTAAAAGCATGTAGTTCTAAATCTGATCTCACACTGAAACAAGAAATAAATAAAGATCCTGAAATCAAATGAGTCACATCAAATGATGTGAGTATTGACTGGAACCTTAATGTTCTTTTAATGTCATTTTTGTAGTGTGATATTTGTATTGCGTATAAAGCAAATGTTACTGTTAATATTTCATATATGGGTCACTAATATAGCTGACCTGGCAAATCACACATCATAAAATGTAAGACTTGAGGCATCAATCCATGATGAACTCTAAATGTCACAGCTACCAATACAAACTCAACATGCAAAAAGGGTTAAATTTAAGCCAAATTATCTTTTCGAACCAGTTGATTTTGTGGCTACACAACTACTTCATCCAACAAAATGGGGATAGAGTGGGGAAAGATTACAGGAGGGTCAGAATTCAGTTTCAGGTAGCAGCTAGTCATGGGAGCCTCATTCCTCTCTTGCAACTGAGTCTATGTCCCACACATTTTCACAGTGCAGCACTGGTTTGCCCTTTAACCCTGCCTATCAGTGACCTTGTTGGCCCAAACTACTATCTGCTGAGAGATACATCTGGAAAGTGAGATCAAAGAACAAAAGAGAGGCTGTAGTATTATTTTTCAAGCAGGAGAATATTAGCAGGATAGATCCTAGTAGCTACTAGGACCACCATGCTGAAAGACATCTGGTTCAGCAGCCAGCTCCTCTCAGGTCCACTCTCAGGTCCACTGCTAAATATGTGCTCCAGCTGTCTGCTTCACTGACCAGATACATGAGGTGACATATGATGAACGTTGAGAAATTTGAGAAATCTAGATATCGTGTTTAGAATTGTTACTCCTGGCTATGCCTGTTGACTTCACTCTGCTGTAGGGGGATGTTCTTTAGGACACACAAGCACAGCTCCTACATCTGTCCTCTCTATATAGTATACTCCAGCTGTACTTACTTGTCACTATGCAGGGACACAATGCAACTTTGCCTTTTTCAGGTACTTGTGATTCTTCTAGTGAGAAGAGTGCACATACCAGGGCTTAGCTGATGACCATGCAGTTGCGAACAAGCATTTCTTAAGCATAATGGGGTGGACACTGAACGATGAATTTGTTTTCTAATAAATCAGTTTAGATCATTATTGCACCTCTGGTGCTGAATGTAACAGAACAGCTGACAAAAAGAGTTTTCCAACTCAGCTCAATCTGAGGACATGACTAAATGGAAGATAACATCTTGCTCCTCTAGGAGATCCCAGATCTGAATAATCATGGTGAAAGGCCTGGGAAAAAACAGCTATCCTAATTAACACAAACCACAGAGGGCATTGGTGGTAATATCAATAGTCTATCCTAATGGGAAATGCTGTCTGGAAAATGCTGTATTTCTGGCAGAGATGGAGATCTTGTATAGTAGAAGAGTTGTCAGCTCTCAGGGAAGTTCTCTTCAACTGGTCTATTTCACATGAAATCTGTGGAGTTATATTTTCTGGTTTCAAAGGTTGCGTGAATAGCTAAGTGAAAGGGCTAATGGTGGAGCACCAATAAATCACAGCTAGATACTGAAGCATGTGTTTCATGGAGGCACTGATGCATTTAAAAATGCTGTTTTCTTCTTTTTGGTACAAAGCTGTTATGTCCTCTGCTACTGTGACAGAATGGGACCCCACATAAATGACATATGGTTCCTATCTCAACACCATGAACAGTATACACAAAGTTTTCATCAAGACCTCACTCTGTGTTCCCAGAAACCAATGTTGATCCTCTAACTACTAATTCCTCCTCAGTCATGCTTGAATATATTCACCTAATTTCCCCCAAATTGCTTTAGGAATTTGCCATCCTGAAGAGAGTGGTGTAGGATGCATAGCTATTGGTGGAGTAACAGACATTATTTTGAGGACAAACCATAATCAATCAAATATTAAATGTCAAGCCAGTCATTTAGGACAATTTTACCCTAAGGCTCAGCTTGTTCTCTGCATACAATGGGATGGGAAGTCCAGAAGAACTGTAAAGACAGGGTCATTCCTTCAGCTCATACACCAGGGAAAAGAAGTGAAGATGATGGGAGGAAGCAAACAGTAGAAGGAGAGTATCCTCCTTGTGATGCTCCATAAAATCCAGTAACATTCCCTCTTCCTGTGCTGCCACACTGTCCTTGACAAAACTACACCAGCTGCTTACAGTCATTGAGATCTGGGGTTATCTCTGAAAATAAATAACCTTCCATTAGTTTTCTAACATAGTAGAACACATAGCATTATTGCAAATGAAAGCAAAGAGCTGGAGAGACAC